AGTATGCACAAACTGAATGAATGCCCATTCCAACATCATATTTGTGGAGGAAGTGGCATCTGTGGCAATAGGATTCACAAATCAATGCCTTTGGGGAGGGACAGCCAGGGCCTTAAAGTGATTCCTCAGGAAATTTGGTTGCTCAGTTGAATTCTGTACTTCAGTACACTCATATGCATTCAATGAGCTGTTAAGAAGAAACATAAAGATGGAAAATATTTAAAAACAAATACATGTTTCCTGGTATTATTTCAGCTAGTCAATGCAGGTGAAGATGTGCTAATCTTTTACAACGACAGAGCGTCATTTCCCATTCTTCTTCACATGATGTGCTCTGAGCGAGAGCGAGTGGATGAGAGCGGGCCTTTGGTTTATCACATCACCCTGGTGGAATTGCTCGCAGCATGTACAGAAGGGAAGAATGTTTACACCGAGATTAAATGTAATTCCCTTCTTCCACTGGATGACATAGTAAGAGTGGTGACTCATGATGACTGCATACCTGAGGTAAGCTTGACTTTGCAACTCAGCATGGGAAGAATAATTATAAAAACATTTCCAGTGCATCTGAAAAAGATGAGATGCTCTCTCTCTCTCTCTATTATTCTCTCTCTCTCTCTCTCTGTATTAAAATATTGTCAGTAAAGAGGTAAATCAAATCATCTGGCATAATTACCAGAAATAATAAAATGTTGATTGCCCCTACTTTCATTCTGATTTAACACGTGGATGTGGAAGTTGCAACAGAAAGAAAAAGTACAAGGTCAGGCCAACCATCAACCTGAAGGGTTACCAAATGCAGTTTACATATACATTTGTAAAAAAAAAAACACTTCCAAATAATTTGGATATGCTGGAGAGGAAGCTGCAGTTGCATTTGGTGCCTTTATTTCTTTAGCGCAATAGAAATCTTGTAGGGGAATCGGGATGCTGGACAGCTCGTTAAGCGAAGCACCACTGTATTAGTATTCACCGCTCTGATGCATTTTGAACACCAGAAAACACACTTGTAATGTTTAGAAAAGTGTTACTTTTGTAAGGTAACTGCATTTTGGCTTGCCTATTTGTTTGGGAAGAGTGAATTATATAGGATCATAGTATGCACAAACTGAATGAATGCCCATTCCAACATCATATTTGTGGAGGAAGTGGCATCTGTGGCAATAGGATTCACAAATCAATGCCTTTGGGGAGGGACAGCCAGGGCCTTAAAGTGATTCCTCAGGAAATTTGGTTGCTCAGTTGAATTCTGTACTTCAGTACACTCATATGCATTCAATGAGCTGTTAAGAAGAAACATAAAGATGGAAAATATTTAAAAACAAATACATGTTTCCTGGTATTATTTCAGCTAGTTAATGCAGGTGAAGATGTGCTAATCTTTTACAACGACAGAGCGTCATTTCCCATTCTTCTTCACATGATGTGCTCTGAGCGAGAGCGAGTGGATGAGAGCGGGCCTTTGGTTTATCACATCACCCTGGTGGAATTGCTCGCAGCATGTACAGAAGGGAAGAATGTTTACACCGAGATTAAATGTAATTCCCTTCTTCCACTGGATGACATAGTAAGAGTGGTGACTCATGATGACTGCATACCTGAGGTAAGCTTGACTTTGCAACTCAGCATGGGAAGAATAATTATAAAAACATTTCCAGTGCATCTGAAAAAGATGAGATGCTCTCTCTCTCTCTCTATTATTCTCTCTCTCTCTCTCTCTGTATTAAAATATTGTCAGTAAAGAGGTAAATCAAATCATCTGGCATAATTACCAGAAATAATAAAATGTTGATTGCCCCTACTTTCATTCTGATTTAACACGTGGATGTGGAAGTTGCAACAGAAAGAAAAAGTACAAGGTCAGGCCAACCATCAACCTGAAGGGTTACCAAATGCAGTTTACATATATATTTGTTAAAAAAAACACTTCCAAATAATTTGGATATGCTGGAGAGGAAGCTGCAGTTGCATTTGGTGCCTTTATTTCTTTAGCGCAATAGAAATCTTGTAGGGGAATCGGGATGCTGGACATGACTATACCTTTGTTCTCCAGTATGCTAGCATGCCCAGAATCTTCTAAGAGATTGCAGGCAGGCGGGCAGGGAAGAAACCACTGCCTTGTAAGAACAAGCACTGAAAGAGGAGGATGAGTTAGAGGGAGAGAAAGGGTGTGGGCATGGGTGGCTCATGTAATAGGCAGGGGATGCTTCCCACAATGTTTTGAGATGAAGTGCCCTCCTGTTCACTTTATGAATCAGCACAGAGAGTAGAAACCAGGGGATGAGTGCCCAAAAATACCTTGTTTTCCCGAAAATAAGACCTAACCTGAAAACAGCCCTAGTATGATTTTTCAGGATGCTCGTAATAGAAGCTTAACCCAAAAATAAGCCCCAATTGAGTGAAACCCTGGCCTCCACCACTGCAGCAACCAGAAGAAGATGACATGACTGTATTTAAATAAATGTAGATTGTTGTACATGAAAAAAAAAATAAAACATCCCCTGAAAATAAGCCCTAATGTGTTTTTTGGAGTAAAAATTAATATAAGACCCTGTCTTATTTTCAGGGAAACATGGTATATAGGAGTCATCAGGAAGCAATTTTGTCCAGGGCAGCCCCAACCCTGGCAATATAATTAACAGAAATGTCAGAACAAACAATGTGTTGCCATTTAGATTAACATCAGAATCTCATACTTGGCTGTCTTTCATGCATAGGATAGCCATGGCAAGGACAAATTGACATTTCAGTAGTTTAACATTTGTTACACAATGAAAAGAAAGAAAAGACAAAATGGCAGCAAGGCAGTTGTGCTGATAGTAAAAGAGCAAAATAATTACCATGGAAGGTTCAGAGGATTGAAGAAAAACTGAATGGATTGCTTACATCAGCCAAGATGTCGCATGCCTCATGTTGTTTGTTTGTTTTGAGTGGAGTAGGATATCTGAAGAACTCAAAGAATCTGCAAATAAATATTTAAATAATCACTAGAGCAACACAATAGCTAAAATAGCTGTACTAAAAATATATTATGATCTTCCTTTATTCCCACAGTAGTTTGACCAATACTTTGTCCCCAAAAAAAGAAAAGGGGAAAGGGGGGGAGAAGGAAAAAGAGTCTTGCTACGGGCTTTTGTTTACTATTTTTCTTATTTGATGTTCCAGGTGAAGATTGCATACGTGAACTTTGTCAATCATTGCTATGTAGACACTGAGGTGGAAATGAAAGAAATTTACACCAGTAACCACATCTGGAAACTATTTGAGAACTTCCTTGTTGATATGGCAAGGGTAAGATTTTTATGACTATTAAATACTACATGAACCTCGTTAGAAGGCACTACAGGGGCAACACACCAAAGCACTTTATAGAATGAACTGCTCAACACACAAATGTACAATATGAAGGCTCCATTCTTAAAAAGCCTACCATGGCAATGAGAGAAAAATGCAAGTAGCCAAAGCTGCACCAGAAGTTTATACTGTTGTCATGAAAGGGGGAATGCACAATCATTTAGATGGACATGCTGCAACGCTTAGTAGCAGCAAAAATGTTCAAAATGCCTTTGTGCATTTGCTTCTTCCTGAACTGCAGCAGGGTTGTTTGTGATTGCAGCTAAAATTACCAGGAAAATATTATAAGACATATTGAACAAAATGAGAATTTTGCAAACTCGGAATCCTCCTATATTCTTCTCCTAAGAGTTGTGAAGAGAAGTGAACACTGCTTCTGTTTAACTGGAAATCAAATTTGGCATCAGCCTAGGACTAATGGGCAAGTTGCACTTAACATGGTTGCATTTCAATGGTAATTCATACCATAAAGTTGTTATGTGACAGATCAAAGTCCGCATGCCATGCACGTTGATGATGAAACACTTCCCCGCCACCACGAGACGGGTACTCTTGCCATCTTTTAAAAAGATTGTTTAGAAATAAGACATCTGTAGTTCTTAAGACTCCAGATTCCATGATCATTGTCCTTCTAGATCTTGGCTTCTACCCTTATGGAGAGTCACCGTGTCTATCTAAATAGTATAGATATAGCCCAGATGCTTTTTTGTATGTTTACAGAGAAGGAAAGCAGCTGTCTGTACAGTACAGTCTATTGTTACGGTCCTTAAACCAATTACACAGGGAAAAAAACATAGACATTTACAGTTCCCAAAATTCCAAAAACCTTGTAAAAACATTTGACATTAAAAGACCATTTAAAATCTAGTATCTAGCTACCATAACATTTCAAGATTTCAGATACTTTGTAAAAAAACATTCGGTGTTTAAAACACAATTTAAAATCTAGTATCAAGTTACCATGGAATTTTCAAGACCTGAATATCGGCATACAAAATCTGGCTATGTGATAAGTGATCTTGGAGTCTATATCAAGAGACTCAAGTCTATTTTTTCCTTTGATCAGTGGGGTGATGATCTCCTTGCAAGCCACCTTGTAATCAATCATTACTTTATTTCCAGTCCTTAGACCTACGTATCACACAGAGAAGTGGACAGCCCAGATCTCCACAATCTCTGCAATACATAAAAACATCAAACATAGACATAAAACAGACAAACAAATATAAAACGAACAAGTATACAAGCCATTCAAAACCCTCCATACCAATACCAGAGTCAAGTATGGGGAAATTTCTGAAACTTGAGAATCACCAGACAGAACCCAGCTACCTTGAATGATATCTTACTATCCCTATCTATGAGGAGATACTTAAGTCTAGTTTTCTCTGATTGGCCAGGGATATTTTCAATCAGTGGGGTAATAAACTGATTTTGTGCTACTGCATAATGCGGTCAGTGGAAAAAAATGTGTTCCATGGACTAGACCTCGCCAAGGGAGCAGGAACACAGACTCTCAGTAAGTGGGACATTCTTGTACTTCCCTTCCAGCACAGCAGAGGGGAGAGTAGCACACCTTGCCAGAGTAAAAGCTCTCCTAAACCCTTTTACTATCAGCGATGTTAGATAATTAGTTGGTTCTGTAACATTTTTAATATAGGCCCTTGTCATAGTGTTTTGTAGGCTGGAAAGATCTGACTGGTGCTCAACATCCTCAGTTCTCTGCTTAACAGGGTTTTTGTTTTTTGTTTTTGGCCTGGTCTAATCCATATAATAAAAGGGCATGGGGATGGACACCAATTCAGCTGTCCATATTTTTATTATGAGATGGAGGTTTTGTGCCTATCATACTAATCTATGTTTTCAGGTCTTCAGGAAACTCACAAGAAAACCCACACAACCCACACATTTGGTACCTTTTGCATCTTATGCTTTTACACCTGCTGGGTAACTGAAAACTCAGTATTAGTTTCTAACTCTGAGGGATGTTCCATGCTTTAAAGGTTCAGATTTAGAGAGCAGCATTTGTCCCTGTCTGATATATTTATCATGAAAGAATGTACTGTCCTCATAAAAGCTATATTCATGAACCTCCTTTAACCTTAGGTGTACAAGCATAGCATTATAACACAAGACTCTGTTGCCATAAAGAATTGTCACTTTGTTTTGCATCTAGTTTCAGTGCTGCTTGAGGCTTTCATACTTGCTTTCATTTGGGGCCTGCAGTAAGATTCCAGCCCCCCACTACCACCACAATCTTTTAGTGGTTTCATTTAATCCTCCCAGAGCTCTCCTCATCTTTTCCTAAACAAGTGTTAGAAAAACATTTGTGTTTTTCCTTGCAAGCGTTCCTGGGAGCTGTCTAATAGTTTCCTTGTATTTCCTTGCTAGCAGTTCCTTCTCATTTCCTCTTCTCGCTACCTTGGCTGGAGGAGATTTGTCAGAACTGCTTTCTTGTGTTTGAGTCTTCAGCTTCAGGATTCAGGCTGCCTACATCTTCAAGCGAGGATGTGTAGGAAGGCTTCTGCTTTATACGCTTCAAAAACACCGGTTCTGCCTTGCTCTCAGGCCTTTAAGAAAGCTTTTAGCACTATGAATAGAAAGTTACAAAAGCTTTCTCTTCAGCTACTGCTGGGTCTGATTCTTATCCTTCTCTCTGCTTTTAGCTCCCCTCTTGTCTTCCCTCACACAGGACAGTTTGCGAATGTCCTTTCTGAGGCCAGAATTCTCTTCAGACCATTTGGTACCTTTTGCATCTTGACATTCTTATCTTATGTATATTTTTAAAAGTGACTTTATTCTAAGCAGGCATTATGTTAAGGATGAAAACTCTCGACATAAGCATTGTTGTTAAGACTCAGTTGCTTATTTCCACATAGTCCTCAGTACCAATACTAGATTCTGGGAATGGATATTTGTGGGTGGATGATGACAAAGACAATGACTATATTATCAGGAGCCACTCTGCTCTATAGATAGTGGTCCAGGAAACTGAAATACTGTACATTTCTGACAATGAGACTTGGTTGCTTCATTTAGGAGCACTCAGGATCTATAATAAACTTATTTGGTCAGAAGCTTTTCACAGTAATGAGGTATGTACCACTCAAGAAGAGCTGTGGCATTCCATTTGTCAACAGCCAGTTCCACCAGGAGAGGGGCTCCCTTACAGCTGTCTTTAACGGTTGCTTTCAGATATCTACTGTATATACAACACGGAAAAAGTGCATCTATATATGTGCATCATTCTGCACAGCATATATACATTTTTAATATGCAGGGTTTTATTGCCAGAAGCAATTGCACAAGCTGTACCTGTGAAATGAAGAATGAAGGCACTGCTGTCAGGGAATGTAGATTAAAAGTAGGAACCTCATGGTCTGAAGCTTCAAGAGCTTTGTTTGCTCAAATGTGGCATGCAGCACCAAGCCCATGAATTAGCCAGAGTCTTGACTAAGCTTTAGAAGAAGGCATTTCTGCACCTGACTGGCATAAACTCACCATGCATGTCCTCTAAATTTTCCATAAAATATGCTTTCTTTCTTTCTTTCTTTCTTTCTTTCTTTCTTTCTTTCTTTCTTTCTTTCTTTCTTTCTTTCTTTCTTTCTTTCTTTCTTTCTTTCTTTCCTTCTTTCCTTCTTTCTTTCCTTCTTTCCTTCTTTCTTTCCTTCTTTCTTTCTTTCTTTCTTTCTTTTCCTGATAACTGCATCATAAAATTTCGAGATGTACACAATGTGAAGGATAAAAATGTTCTGATTTGCCCATTAGTTTGGAAGTTGTAAACTGGGCTTATTTACTTTAAAATGTGTACCAAAGAATTCTCACCTATAGCTTTGGCATCATGTTTAGTTATTTTTTTGCTCAAAACATGGTGAATTCATAGGAACAGTTATTTCAACTCATTCTTCATATGTTCACTATCTACTATAGGTATGTAACACAACCACAGACAGAAAACATGCAGATTTAGCTCTGGAGAAATATGTGACTGAACCAGTAATGAGCATAGTGAGTGGCTTCTTCAATTCTCCATTTTCTGACAACAGCACAAGCCTCCAGGTAACAACAAAGAGTGACAAATGTGTTTTTGACTATGATGACATAGTTGTGCAAGCAAGAACACGTTAACACATCTGTTAATTCCTTGTAATATCTATTTTGTTGCACCTATGTTCATCTAAAGGTGAGGGTTTTTTTGTTAAATACCCTGAAAATGGCTTTTTAAAGAAAAATATGTAGACACTCTCTCAATGCACTCTGGGATGTTTGTTATCTGTGTAGAATTCTATATGAGCAAAACTGTCATTCATGTGATAGTCAGTATCCTGCTGCACAGTGGAAATGAGATAATCACCAGCACTACATTGCTGCTGATGAAAGAGTTCCTGCTTTGATTTTAGAATATGCATGACTTGTGTGTAATGGGTTAGAGTCATGTGCAACCCCAAATTGCAGCAGAACTCTTTACTTAGCAGCAGTTTCTTGCTCCCGGTGATCTTACTTCTGCTGCACTAGTAGAGGTACATGACAGAATTTTGAAATATGATTTATTCATTAAAAAAGATACATCCTGCCTTTCAGGATATAAGAGGCAAGCTATGCTGTACATACTTGATAGAGGGATAAAAAGCTGCAGCCAACAGACCAATTCTAGAGCCAACATCTCCAACATGGTGTCTCCTCCAGGTGTTTTGTACGTCAACTTCCCCCAAACCCAGACAGCATGGCCAATGATCAGGGATGGTGGGAAATGTGAGATTATCAAGTAAAGCTCTTCTAAACTTAGCTGATAAACCTCATTTACCCAGGTATAGAGTACTCCCTGTAAGTGGACAAAATATAGGGATCACCCTATACTATTTTTTTTCATGAATTCTAGTGCATTAATGTCAACTCCCAGCTTTCTAAAGTCCCTGGCAGAAATCAGTCACATCATTTTCTCCTTTTTTCCCCCCTCTACTTTTTATTTAATTTGAGAGGGCAGGAATAAAGCTGGAACACTCACCTGGCAAGGTGAGTGCTTTATCAATGAGCTTAGCTTCCTGGTGGAAGCCTAGTCTGCCTATGCAGTCACTTCCTCTTTTCATCCTTCCTGGGCCATCAATTGCCAGCACTCTGCCAAGGAATGACAGCCAGGATGGAGTGACTATTAGAAGCCGAATCCCTCAAACAATTCTCCTTGGGCATTTCATATGATATTATGACCGTGTGTTTTCTTGGCACCTTTCAGGAGACCTGGTCTTACAAGGGTATAATAACCCTGCTACAGAATAGGGTATATCTACACTCTCTTCTTTTGCCAAAATAAATACTGTATGTGCCAAAATAAACATTGGGGAGAGGAGACACCAGGAATGTGAAAACGTTACATAGTGCAAATGAGTAATGTTGGGATTTAACTAGAGAAATCAATGATTAATTAGGTCTTTTGGGGTGAAGCCCAGCAAAAACAAGTTCAATTGACATTGTTCTAGGGCCAGGTATTTCCAGATTCCTGGCCAGGGTCCCAAAGACTAAGATACTTTGGAGACATTTTATATGCCATTATTCGAAGCATTTACATTGTGAAGAAAATATACTTAATATTTAGTATGTGTGAAATACGTAAATGAATGATAGCGCATAAACGTTTTTGTGTCGTGCCAGAACACAGCAAAAATAGGACTGAAGAACAATTTAAATTATAAACAGAGCCTTTTGGATTGTTTTGTTTGTTTTGTTGTGATTTCAGACACACCAGCCTGTTTTTATTCAGTTGCTGCAGTCTGCATTCAGAATTTACAATTGTACCTGGCCTAATCCAACACAGAAGTCTTTTGTGGAATCCTGCATCAAAACTTTAGCTGAAGTTGGTAAGTGATATTAACTCTGGCTTTCACTCTTTCATTTATCAATGACCTAGGGCAGTGCTTCCCAATCTTGGGTAATCCAGGTGTTCTTGGATTGCAGTTCCCATAAGCCTTCACCACCACCTGTGCTGGCTGGGGTTTCTGGGAGTTCCAGTCCAAGAACACCTCAATTACCCAAGGCTGGGAAGCACTGATCTAGGATGAAATGTCAATAATGTTTCTGGGAATAGCCTTCTGAAACTAAGGAGTACTAGGAAATGATCGTGTGATTTCCATTGAAACATTATGTGAGTAGGGTGTGAAGATAGTATTTTCACAAATTTCATAAAGCTTACTGATCTGTATTACACTTCACTTGAAGTGTTGAAGTCCCACCACAGACAAAAGTGGTGAAAAACTGTAGGACAGTGAAGCACAGAGTGATTGGCCCAGTTATTATCATGGCAGGGAAGGGAAACTCTGGATGTACTAGATTGAAGAAGACTGGTGCTGGGCAGTTTCCCAGACTGCCTACATCAGGGAAGTGAAACATCCACTCCACACTCCAGGCTATCTAGGTCGCTTCTACTCTCCATTCAGATTTATGGGAAGTGCTGAATTCATCAGAGAGGACAACAGTGACCCTTCTAGAAGTGCCTTCCCCATTTTGGTGTCTCCAAGATGTTTTGGACAGCTGCTTTCTTGAGCTCACGGGAACTGTGGAGGGCACCATATTGGGGTAGACTGCCCTGGAGCGTCCATATGTGCCTGTATGTTTCTGTGTATCGAAGCAGTACACAAACACCCCGCTTCTTCCTTCTCTTTGCCTACAAGACTAGCCAGTTTCCACATCCAACCCTGCCACTTGCAGCTAATACATTCCATTTTTACTAGGAAGTAAGTTCTATGGGGTTTTCTGCTTGGCCAAGGCTACATAGGTGAAACATGCTTTGGGTGATTTCAGCTTCCCCATCTTGAGAGAAGAACAATGAAAATTTTAATTCTTGGACCTTGTCTTCTAGCCAGGTCTGTAATTATTGTTTTAGTGCAATTTTTTGTTTTAATGGAATTTTTATCCAAACAAGTGTACATAGGAGGCGGTTCTTGTGGTCATGTTAGATGATACACATAATGCAGCATTAAAACTGAAAGTTTCTTAAGCACTGAAGAACATTTGATTGACACAGCAGGAGCTTTTCTTAACTTTCACAGCTTGTGAGTTAGTTTGCGTTGCTTTCTGATTGCTCATTAGGTGGTAAACAGAGGCTTGGGTGCAAGGTTGTAGATGCAAATAAGAATCAAACTGCTTGAAAGCTAATGTGCTTTCAACTTTTAAGGCTTTTTCCTTGTATTGTCTAGTGTGACCTTCAGTTGCACTGGGCCTGTGAAGTAGTTGTGCCCTCTTCTATTTGGGCTGTGCTTTCTGGTGGTTCTCTTTCCTTCAATTGCTGATAAAGGATTTTCTTGCTTTTGCTGCAGCAGTTAAGCAAAGGAAACTTCGTAAACAGGCTAACTGTGTTTTCACAGAGTGAATCTGTATTGAATTTCACATGTTGATTGTAATTTACTAGCCAGAACTTTGGCTACAGAGCTTCTGTTCCATTTCTCAGATGTCTTTAACATTGCCAGTATTGCTTAGGCATTATAGTAGAATTGATGTTTAGCTCACTGAACACGTGATTGCTTTAGGTAATAGGTACAATTATTTTGGGAGTAACATTCTCTTTACTTCAAATAATAATAATAATCTGCAAACTCTTATAAATCATTCAAGGAAAGTCTCTTATAATTATCTTGCAGTTATAGTATAAACAGTCCTTGAAAATAAAAATAAAATGGAGCAAGCCTACTGTCATTTTGGGGAATTGGTTCTGATTGCTTGTTCCTAGTTAGCACCTTGATTCTAAACATTTTAGTGGATGTATCCACATTTTGCATCCAAGGTACAACAGGAGTACACCTCTGATTGTACAGTAGTGCCTCGCTTGACGAGGATAATCCATTCCAGTGAAATCGCTGTAGAGTGAAATCCTCGTCAAGTAAAATAAAAAAGCTCATTGAAATGCATTGAGAACCGGTTCAATGTGTTCCAATGGGTGAAATACCTCAGTATCCAGTGAAGATCCAGCATAGGGCGGCCATTTTCTGATGCCTGTGCAGCAAAAAATCTGTCCTGAACACAGGGGGGAGCCATTTTGAACAGCCGGCGGCCATTTTGAAAACCCGACGATCAGCTGTTTTGATCGTCGTAATGCTAAGAATCAGTTCCCAAAGCAGGGAACCGATCATCCCAAAGTGGATTTTGCCCATTAAAACATCACTGTGAAGCGGATTCGTCATCAAGTGGGGTAATCGTTAAGTGAGGCACCACTGTACATATCCAGTCTAAATAGCATTCCATAAGCCACTGCTGACAGGAGGGCGCAATCAAAACAAAACATTGTAACTTTTGAGTAGCCTCTGGAATAAGGGCCATATTTGGCAGAGTGATTGTAGACAATGCAGACTTCATCTGTGCCAAATTTAGAGAAGATTGAAAAAGTACTTCCTCTTATTTCAGAACCTTTGTTACCGCCTCCAGCATGACTGCATTTTGCTACCATCTTTTGTGTGGCTCATCATGAATTCAGTAGTTATTTTTCCAACACCTGCCTCTGCTTCCTCAAAAGAAAGTGATTCTTGATGCAAGCTTTGTTTTTTCATTTGAAGTCGATCCATTCTCTTGCTTAGAAGAAACAGGATTTTAAGGATGCTTATTTCACATAGGAACATTTTCATAAAGTCTGGTTGCACATGCATACTGAAAGATTCCATAGCCAATGCCTAGATTTTTTTGCTGGCACTTTTGTAAACTAATGAGTCTCACTGAGGTGAATAGGGCTTATTTCTGGGCAAGACAGTATGTTGGGACATCACCCTTAACGAAGGAAAAAATGTCTTTGGACAAAATTGCATAGAGAGGAGCCATGAGGGGAGGTGAAAAAGAGAGGAGGAAGTGAGAGGGAGGGAGAGAGTGGAGCCAGATGTTGGGGGCAAGAGAGAGGAATCCCAGAAAAAAAAGGGGGAGAGAATGGGGAGGTGGGTGAGCAGAAGAAAGGAATCATGGAGAGAGAGAAGGATTGAGGAAGTGCGTGGACAGAGAAAAAAAGAGGGAGAGAGAGAAGTGAGTAGAAAAGAGCCACACACAGAGAGAAAGAGAGGGAGGAAGGGATGGAGAAATACAAAGCTTCTCTGGAATGATTTGTGGCTGCAGGAATTGGAAGGAACTCTCCCTGCCTCCCTTTCTTGCTTGCTGCTTCAGGTATGTAGACAGAGCAAGCCTACATTGATGTACTGTAAAACCAGCCCTATTTGGTTCAACGGGACTTATTCCCAAGTAGTGACCTAGCCTACAGTTCTGCATCTGTGAACACAGCAGCAAGTCTCTTTGCTATAAATGAGGATTACTTCTGGAGAAGAGGGTGTATCTTAGGACTTCAGCCTTACCACAGGAATAAGCGTCATTGATCTTGGTCAGACTTCCTTCGGAGTGCATTGGCAGGCAGGATCACTTGTGGACAAGGAATAACCCTCTAAATAATTTGCATATCCAGTTGATATAATAGTTGGAGGCTTCAACGTCGATAGTTTTGTCCAGTTTAGGCTTCAGAAAATTAAAAATAACTGGAAGAGAAGCCCAGAGTAATGGAATAATTTGTGGGCATATCACAGAAAAGATGTAGAATAGGCAATAGAAAGTGAACATAACATGCCTAGCAAAGTCTTCTGTTTCATATTTTACTTAGGGAAAAGATTGTCGATGAACCCCAAAGCTTGTTTTATCTGAGTATTGTATGCCAGATTTTGATTCCATCAACCTTACTATAAAGGGAAGAAATGGAAGAACCAGGCAACCAGGCAACACATTGTTGGGATAAAAATGCTAAGTCAAAACATTGCACTCCTTTTCTACTAGTGACAGCGTCTGGTGCTTTATTGCATTACATGTGCTCCATTTTCACTGCAGTTGGAGAGTCAGAGCCGAGTTGTTTCAGAATAATTCATTAAAACCTATGACAGGTCTTTGTTCTTTCATGAGAATATCACAATAGTTTCCTTTATCTGACATCATTAAAGATACACAAAGACAGTGAAAAAATTGTTGATTTCTTTAGCCAGCAGGATAGAAATCATGATTTCAGTGAGGATATATTTGATTTCATAAGATTTTTTTCATATATGTTGAACACATTTTGCACCATTTTTTGCTCCCATGAATAATTTCAGTATAGTGAAGATTGCTTCTGGTCATTGTGAATCCTTTGCCATTTCTTTTACTTATTATTATTAGTTTCTATTTGTTGTATTTGAATTTAAAATGGGCTGAAAACCTCTTCAATAAAGTACCTACCTGACCCAAACAAGGTAGGAAAATAAGCTTTGGAGCCTTCCCTTGCACCATTTTTTGCTCCCATGAATAATTTCAGTATAGTGAAGATTGCTTCTGGTCATTGTGAATCCTTTGCCATTTCTTTTACTTATTATTATTAGTTTCTATTTGTTGTATTTGAATTTAAAATGGGCTGAAAACCTCTTCAATAAAGTACCTACCTGACCCAAACAAGGTAGGAAAATAAGCTTTGGAGCTTTCCCTTCAAATGTATCTGAGTATAAAGAAGTTTTACAAGCATCTATATAAGGAATGAGGGTGTACTCCCTCCCAAAAGATACAAAAGTTGTGTAACCCCCTGAGACTTGCCATAAAATAAGACAACAGTGGTCTCCGGCTGGGCCATTGGCAGTAACCTGCTGTAAACCAGGAGCCATGGCACCAGGTGACCATATAAGCTGAGAGACAAACTAGAGGGCCAAAGCTGAACACAGGGAGAACAACAGAGCAAGGATCCAGAAACACTGCAGAATTTAGGAAAACTGTTTATTAAGCAAAGATGAACTGGAAGTTGAAACAGAAAGCCATTGTGTGTTCCTTCCCAGAGGGATGCAGAGGCCAGCTGTGGAAGAGGGAGAAGAGAAAGTCCAGACCC